TGTATATATAATGTGATATATGTATATCTTTATGCCCATGTTGCTATAGTTGCAGCCCCTCCCTGTTTTAATCTGTCTCTTTACACAGAAAGTTACCTTTCTATTTTCTAATTAATAACTTTATTAATATTAGCTAACAGTTATTAGATACTATATGATTTACCTGCATTATTTAATTAAATCCTCATAATAAGTTTGAGGTATACTATTATTGGGCTTCTTTGAATGTCCCATTTATAGCCTAGCCCTTCTTAGGAAGTATCAATTAATATTTCTTGAATGACTACATAATGAGGAGGAAACAGACACATACCTGTTGCTGTTCAGTGTTATGGTCAGAAAGGTAATTTAGACAGTGCTGTGGCTTTTGTGGTGGTGGTGGTGGTGGTTTTGATTTGTTAATCAGTTATCCTCTCTGTAGAGGTGGACCAGGGTCATGGCAGTTGGCTGGTGCGTCCCCTCCCCAGGGATGTTGAACACAGGCATTGTGATTTCAATATTGCCTTCTTTTTATGCGGTTCCCTATTGGTTTGAATATTAGCTATTTTTTGCCTAACTTCTCTGATAACAGGTTATTATTTTGGCTTTAATTTGCATAATTTATTTGGTATCCGTTTGCCTTGAAAGTTTCTTGCTTCGTTCCTTGTGTACAAAACTACTTGTTTGGAGGGTCTTAACATTCTTTTATAGTCTGTAAAGGTAAGCATACTATTGATAAAGTTTATGTGTTGTTGAATCATAATGAACAGGTGGCTTTTGAGAAGGAAAGGTCATTTTGGACATCAAAAAGTAGTGTGCTTTTTGTTATCTAGTATCCTGACTGAAAACTTCTTTCTCTTTAATTCTGAGGGTTTGTTTACTTTGTTCATTAATTATTAATGTAAGCAAGTAGAGCAAGGAAATGATTTAAATATTAAATCTTTTTTGTCTGCATTGTGCTGCTTTGATTAGATATATTGAATATATTCATTTATCTTCATTTGCAGAAATAAACGGGTTTTGAAAACAAAGAGAAGAAGGGGTGCAAGAGGGGGCCAGGATCCAGGCCTCCATCCCCAAAGAAGTGAAGTTGCAGCTGGGAGGTCTCCTCCCACTCCAATCATCATCATGGGTCCCGCCGACTGCCCACCTCCTCCTCCTCCCCCTCCCCCCCACAACAACAACAACAACGACAAGCACAGCGGCCATAAGAGCCCCTGCGTGCCCAACATGACCGAACGCAGGAGGGATGAGCTCTCTGAAGAGATCAACAACTTAAGAGAGAAGGTCATCAGGCAGTCCGAAGAGAACAACAACCTGCAGAGCCAGGTGCAGAAGCTCACAGAGGAGAACACCACCCTTCGCGAGCAGGTGGAAGTGGAGCCCACCCCTGAGGATGAGGATGATGACCTCGAGCTCCGTGGAGCTGCAGCTGCTGCTGCCCCACCCCCTCCGATCGACGAAGAGTGCCCAGAAGACCTTCCTGAGAAGTTCGATGGCAACCCAGACATGCTCGCTCCTTTTATGACCCAGTGCCAGATCTTCATGGAAAAGAGTACTAGAGATTTCTCAATTGATCGTGTCCGCGTCTGCTTCGTGACAAGCATGATGACCGGCCGTGCTGCCCGCTGGGCCTCAGCCAAGCTGGAACGATCCCACTACCTGATGCACAACTACCCAGCCTTCATGATGGAGATGAAGCATGTCTTCGAAGACCCTCAGAGGCGAGAGGCTGCCAAACGCAAGATCAGACGTCTGCGCCAAGGCATGGGGTCTGTGGTCGACTACTCCAACGCTTTCCAGATGATTGCCCAGGACCTGGATTGGAACGAGCCTGCGCTGATTGACCAGTTCCACGAGGGCCTCAACGACCGCATTCAGGAGGAGCTCTCCCACCTCGAGGTCCCCAAGACGCTGTCCGCGCTGATCGGCCAGTGCATTCACATTGAGAGAAGGCTGGCCAGGGCCGCTGCCGCTGCCGCTGCCGCTCGCAAGCCGCGCTCCCCGCCCCGGGCGCTGGTGCTGCAGCACCCTCCAGGCCACCACCAGGTCGATCCCACTGAGCCTGTGGGAGGTGCCCGCATGCGCCTGACCCAGGAAGAAAAAGAACGACGCAGAAAGCTGAACCTGTGCCTCTACTGCGGAACAGGAGGTCACTACGCCGACAGCTGTCCTGCCAAGGCCTCAAAATCTTCGCCGGCGGGAAACTCCCCGGCCCCGCTGTAGAGGGACCTTCAGCGACCGGGCCAGAAATAATAAGGTCCCCACAAGATGATGCTGTTTCATCCCCACACTTGCAAGTGATGCTCCAGATTCATCTTCCAGGCAGACACACCCTGTTTGTCCGAGCCATGATTGATTCTGGTGCTTCTGGCAACTTCATTGATCACGAATACGTCGCTCAAAATGGAATTCCTATAAGAATCAAGGACTGGCCAATACTTGTGGAAGCAATTGATGGGCGCCCCATAGCATCGGGCCCAGTTGTCCACGAAACCCACGACCTGATAGTTGACCTGGCAGATCACCGTGAGGTGATCTCATTTGATGTGACTCAGTCTCCGTTCTTCCCCATCGTCCTAGGGGTTCGCTGGCTGAGCACACATGACCCCAACATCACATGGAGCACTCGATCTATTGTCTTTGATTCCGAATATTGCCGCTACCACTGCCAGATGTATTCTCCAATACCTCCGTCCCTGCCACCGCCAACACCACAGCCCTCACTTTACTATCCAGTAGATGGATACAGAGTTTACCAACCGGTGAGGTATTACTATGTCCAGAATGTGTACACTCCAGTAGATGAGCACGTCTACCCAGATCACCGCCTGGTTGACCCTAACATAGAAATGATACCTGGAGCACACAGCATTCCTAGTGGACACGTGTACTCACTGTCTGAACCCGAAATGGCAGCTCTTCGAGATTTCGTGGCAAGAAATGTAAAAGATGGCCTAATTACTCCAACGATTGCACCTAATGGAGCACAGGTTCTCCAAGTGAAGAGGGGGTGGAAACTGCAAGTTTCTTATGATTGCAGAGCTCCAAACAATTTCACTATCCAGAATCAGTATCCTCGTCTATCTATTCCAAATCTAGAAGACCAAGCTCACCTGGCAACTTACACTGAATATGTACCTCAAGTACCTGGATACCAGACATATCCCACGTACACCACGTACCCGACCTACCCAGTAGGATTCGCCTGGTACCCCGTGGGACGAGATGGACAAGGAAGATCACTCTACGTACCTGTTATGATCACTTGGAATCCACACTGGTACCGTCAGCCTCCGGTACCACAGTACCCGCCGCCGCAGCCGCCGCCCCCGCCGCCGCCGCCCCCGCCGCCTCCATCCTACAGTACCATGTGAATGCCTGTCATGTCCTTCAGGATCTCTGCCCTCAAAATTGATTCCTGTTCAGCTTCTTAATCAGTGACTGTGTGCTAAGTTAGGCTACTGTATCTTCAGGGCCACCCTGGACTGGCACGCATCATATTCACCAACAAATGATCTCTGTTTTCCACCTTGACTGCCAATCTAACTAAAATAATTATCAAGTTTACTTTCCAGCCAATCCTGGAAGCCTGAAAGCTCTGTCACCATCTAAATTACAGGCCGCCAAATTCCTTGTTTAACATTTACAGAGAAGCTGATGCAAACACAGGAAATGCTGATTTCTTTACGGAGGGGGAGAAAAGGAGGAGGAGGACATGACTTTCCTTGCAGCTTCGGTACCCTCACTGGAGGACCGAAGCCTTATAAAGGAAGCCACAAGTACTGGTGCAGTGTGGAAAGGCTTCCGTGATCCTCTTGCTGCACCCATTAGAAACTTCACCATCTTCAAACTCCATTTGCGTGGTTCTGTTAACTCTCAAGGAGCAGCAACTCGACTAGTTCTCCCAGAAGCAGGCAAAAAAACCCTATGACGTGGAACACCTCAGGCCTGAAAAGAAAGTGTCCCCTCTTTAGACTGTAGCATTAGGATGCCTGGAGGGGGAAAATGATTTGGCACCCGGATCCACACTGCTATGCCTTGGAGGAATGTCTTTGAAGAGGAATTAGAGCACTGGACACTCGGACTTCCTTTGACCTGGTCCCTTGCTACTACCTTGAACTGTTTGTCTAACCTCTCTCTTTCTTTTAATTCTTTACTACTGCCACTAACCCTGCTGCAGGATGTGTGTCATCTTCTTGCCTGGTTGCTGAGACTCCATTTTTGCTGCCATGCACGGAGACGAGAGGCAGGCTTCAATTGCCAAAACACGGTTTGAGCAGTAGAAAACAACATGGTTTTATTTCAGATTGTCTGTCATGAAGAGGAGTCTGATGGTGAAGTTTCATTTTTCATCAGCATCATCTTTCATGTATTCATTATCACCCACTCTTATTCTTGCATGTTTAAATACTTTAAAACTTGTAGCTGTGGGTAGTGTCCTTTAACAGTGTTTTAAAGTGGTGACTATGCTTTCAAAAATTTCCATTGAATTACAAATTCTTATTGTTAAACTAAGTAAAAGTGATAACGTAGTGTAAGATACTTCTCTACTGTGAACTTCTTACAACACTGTGAATGAGAGGCTCCTCAGAACTGGAGTATTTGTGTAATAGTTTATCTCGCTCATCTTCAATCTTCAATTTGAACATCATATGTAATTTCACTTTGATCAATTGGGCCTTTAAAAATCACACAAAATGATAAACAGTTTTAAAGAAGAAACCTAATTGGCTATTTATTTAATACAAAACAACACTTTTTTTTCTTCAATGGAATCAGAAAGCTTGTCAATCACTTGTGTTTTTGAGTAATTGTAAAATGGTGCATTTGTGCTTCTGGACTATTTTGAAGCGTCATTTCAGTTTACCTCATACCAATTCATCCTCCATACATTTGAATTCAAGTTACTCTGTGTCAAATTTATGGTTGTCAATTGATCTTCAAGCTGCAGAGTGCCTAGAAATGGGCATGGTCTGCAGCCCCCGCATGTGCACACGGACATTTGCCACCACTGCAAGCAAGAGTCTGGAGCAGTTGGCCAACGACAGGAACAGTCAGGGAGAGCATGCTGATGTGGGTTAACGACTCACGAAGTCCCTGACACATTGACTGTTTACTGAAGCTTGCGATTAACTTTTTGGCAGTGTGTGCTATGCTCTATTGCTATATGTGCTATCTATAAATGTAGATGTTAAGGATAAGTGATTTTAAATATATTATTCTATAGTATTAAAGTTTGGGTAAGTTTCCTTTGGATAAGTTTCCTTTGGGTAGGTTTCCTTTGGGTAAGTTTCCTTTCACTTTAATTGATTTATTTCAATGCTGTTGATCAAACTTTTGTTAATTGAATCCTTTAAAATTTTTTTGGCATTTTCCACCAGAAATGCCTTTATTCATAAGAAAGGAAAAAGCAAGGAAATTTGATGTCTGAAGAAGTTAGAAAGGGAGCAAAATAAAAACATAAAGCAGATGGATAAGTCAAAACATAAGAATTATTAAGCCAAGCCAATAGTCAAGTCTTTGAAACAAACTGGCAAGATTACCTAATTGATTTTGGCCAAAATTTGCGTTGTTAATTAAGGAAGACGAAGATCTGAGAGCTCCTATTGTTAGGCAAGCCTGGAGTGAACTCGATAAGGTCATTATGCTAGGATATTGAAACAGAGAAAGTTTACATACATTTCTGAAGGGTCAATTTAGTGTGAACAATGAGGTATTTGTTTTAGATGCTGGAAAAAGAAGAATTAGTTCGATTAAATCATGTGAAGTAATACAGTTGACTTACAGGTGGACAAAATTAGAGAGACACCATGTATATGGTGCAGTTTGGAATTCTGTTTAAGTTTGCAGGTACCTCTTAGACTCCTGAATTGATCCAGTTGTCATCCACCACAGACATCTCATATCAGATACAGTTCCAAGATTGACAACAGAGAATACCCTGCTGGCAAAAGACCTGGGTGGAAATGAAGGACCACCTGCAGAAATGAAGAGCCCAGAGGGAGTCATGCTACATTTTCATCTAAAGAGAGAACACTTATCTGATGGGACTGAAAGTTCTTTGTTGTTTCAGATTGTAGAATGCTGTTGAATTGGTCTATGGAAAATTGCATTGTTTTTATTTCTTTGTGTAATCACTTTAAGTAATAGGGGATATATGTAATCATAAATATTTTGGGTGGGAGGGACTATTAATCTTAAGTGGGTGGGGTTATTTAGAAAGTTAGACTGATATTATGTATTAGCTATCTCTATAAGTGGACATGTGTACTTACTTGTAACCTTTTACCTTGTAATTGCTACCCTTAAAGATTCCTAATAAACTCGGGGGGAACTGC